CAGTGTGTGAGAGCAGAGAAGCTCAGACTCACCTGGACAATGTTGTAGGGGACGGGCCTGGGCCCCAGCCTCAGGGAAGGGGGGTTACATACAGGTTGTTGTGTTGTCACCTTACTGACACATATACAATACACCTGCGTATGCATGTCTGCATCCTAGTGTGAGTGTATGTAAACACACACACAATCATATCCATGTAAATTACACACATACAATACACATGCATATGCATCTCTGCGTCCTAGTGTGTGCGCATGTATACGGAACACACAACAATTCCAAGCACAATAAACACACAAACACACATGCATCACACACACATTCTGGATAAACCTTCACTCTTCCAATTCACAAGGTCATTTTTCCAGGCTTCTAGTTACTCACAGGGCAACGTCTAGAAGCTAGAGCAGGGTGAGGTCCCCACAGGGTACCAAAGTCCACCCCCCACCTCTACACACACATATACATTCTTCTTAAGGGGGAGCATCAGTAAGCAAATCCCTAGGCAGAGCTGCAGCTCCCAGCCCGGGCCTCTGCAGCTCCCTGAAATCTGTCTCGCCTTCCTGTCCGTTCCTCTTGCAGTTCCGTAAAGAGCCCAAAACTGGAGACCTGATTGAGATTCCCCGCATTGGCTCCTCGCACTGGGCCCTCTATGTGGGCGATGGTTATGTGATCCACCTGGCTCCCCCAGGTAAGCGGTGTTGAAAGTATAAATCTCCACAGATTTGTTATCATGATGAGAACAATTGAAAGCCAATGCCACCCTGGGAAAACAGTGTTGGTTTCTCCATGAACAGTGCTTTAATTCACCCTTCATCCGTTTTCATTGGAGGAATCTCAGTGGTCCCTCTGGCCTTGACCCAGCAGGGAAAGAGGTCCATGGGCCCCAGGGAAGCTGGGCTGGGGCCGCATTGGACGCACTCCAGCTGGGGACCTTTAGCTGGGCGCGTAGACAGATTTCACAACACCAGCAGCATCTCTGGGTGCCCACAGTCTCATAAAGGAGAAGGATCAATGACAGTGGATGGTCAACTAGATGATGTCCATTCATATCATGGAGCACAATAGCAGCCACTGACCATCAGAATATTCATTAGCTTGAAAAAGTTTTCACAGCTCATTTAGTAAAAGATTAAAATCCTCCAATCACATTGGTGAAGGGACAGACAACAAAGCTCAATAGTGTCATCCCCTGGCCCTTCTTCCCTGTCTTGTGTCTTCTCTCTCCCTCCCTGGCCTCCCCCTGCAGTTCCTGATACTCCTGTGTCTGATTCCAGGGGAGAACTCTGAGGCTGGCGCCCCCACCGGCTTAGGGGAGGTGAAATGGCAGCTCCTCTTGGAAGTGGTGGGAAACTGCTCCTATGAGGTCAACAACCACTTGGACCATCTGTACAAACCCCGGCCCATAGGGGAGATGCTCAGATCTGGGAAGGAGATGGTTGGTCAGGAGATGGAGTACAGTGTTCTCAGCAGAAACTGTGAGCGCTTTGTCACGGATCTGAGATATGGCCAGGCCCACGACCGGCAGGTAAGGCCCTGTGTGGGGGGCTCCCTCTACCTTCTGGAGGTCTGCCTGGGGTGACAGGACTGTGCAGCCAGCAGAAATAATTACCCCGAATGATGCAAAATTATGCTCCCTGCTTCCTGCTGGCTGGGAGTCAGGATGTCTGAGATCAAATCTCTGGTCTGTTCCTGATCCACTCAGGGTCTTTAAACAGGTCACTTCCTCTCTGGCCTCAGTTTCCCCATGTGCAGAAGGAGGGAATTTGGAGGACCTCTGGGGCTCTGGCCACCTCTATCCCTTTAGGATCCTTTGCCTCTAAGACCCACCCTAAAGGCAGCTCCTGATGCCCTGTGTGCTGTCAGGGAAAGTCTGGGCCAACCCTGGACCATGACAGGTTCCTAAGGCCCCAGAGAGCCCTCGGGCAAGAGATGCTCAAGGTCTGTGGCCCATGTAAGAGCTCGAGGACATGTTATGTAAGGTCTGGGCACATCCTTACCGCTCTCCTCTTTCCTCTCTTAGCAAAACACAGCTAGTTAAGAGGCAGGAGCAGATTCAATGCCCAGTGCTCCCAGCTCTTTCTGCTGAACCACAGCACCTCCAGGGCTCACAGCCCTTGTGATTGGGTGATGGGCAGCCTAGATGGAGGAGAATGAGGGGAGGAGGAGCAGGATTGGGAGGGAAATTAAGGACTTGATGCTCATGTGGGGTGTTTGAGGTGACCATTAGACATTAAAGTAGAGCTGTTGAGTAGCAGACATGTGAGTCTGGAGTTCAGGACTGAGGTAGGACTAGGGATAGAAATTTCCAGGGAACAGTACACAGAGCATAGTGATCCCTGAGGCCATGGTTTCCCATCATCTCCCCTCAGCTCTGGCACCACCTCCCTCTTCAGAGATGGAGCCCAGGTAGAATCACAGAGCCCTTCTCACTTTCACCACCAGAGCACCTGCCCCAGGAGCTTAGGCACAAAGCCTCCTCCCCTGTCCACCCCCATTAGGACCAAATGGCCCCACCAGGAAGTTTTACCCCGGCCCTGGAGTGGGTGGGACAGAAGTCTGGGGGTTGGTCTAGAAAACATGGGGTCAGATCATCGGGAACAGGATGGCCCTGAATAAAGTCATGGAGGAAAGATGGACAAAGAAGTGAATTCCAGAGAAGCTTCCAGGCTAAATGACCACTGTTGGATGTTGGCATGGAATGAGGGCAAAGGGAAGCTGGCCCCTGGTCTCAGATTGGGCGGCCTGTGGTTAGCGCTGCAGGAGGTTAGCTGAGGTCAGACACACACAGAAGATAAAATGAAAAATTCTCAAATCAGGAAGCTGCAGTGCCCTGGCCAGGGACACTGAGGGCAGGGAGGAGGTGATAAGGCAGGGAGGGAGGGAGGAAAGGGAACCAGGAAGGGTCGGGGCAGAGAAGACCCAGTGCAGCCACTGCCAGCTGAGTGTCTCTGGGCAAGTCCCTCTACCTCTCTGATCCTCAGTTTCTGCAGATGAGCACGTGGGTGCTGCTTCCTTCCCCTGGGCTTGGGAGGGTGGCAGTTATGGGGGAAATGTGCCAGCAGAGCCTTCTGGGGGACTGTGAGCCCTGTGCCCAGGGCAGGATGCTGGGCAACAACAGGAGGGCCTTCTCCAATGCTCAGGTGCCCTCAGGATGCTGTCACCTGCTGTTTTTCAGCTCAGCATCTTCAAGGGTCCGTGTACCGGAGCTGGGGAGGGCAGAGTGTGAGGTGGTGCCTGTTGAAATCAGGCACAACCAGGGCAAACACATGATGGAGACATGAGGGTCAGTGTGTGAGAGCAGAGAAGCTCAGACTCACCTGGACAGTTTTGGGGGTTGGCGCTTGTACTCGGTCTCAGTGAACGGTGTTTACATACAGGCTGTTGTGTTATCACCCTCGAGACACATGCGCAATCGACCTGCATATGCATGTCTGCATCCTAGTGTGTGTGCATGTACACACAACACACAAAATATCCATTCACCTGACATTTTCCTCTTAGATAAGATGTCACATGCATACAATAGAGCATTCTCCTAAATTTAAGGATTTCTCAGGTGAGAAAAAAAAATGGCAGCAGAGTAAGTGGATGGTGCATGGAGATGCTCCTAGGAACAAACTGGAATTACAACTAAAATACAGAAAAACTTCCCGAGTAGTCAGTGGAAAACTTGCAGGAGAGAACTCTGATATCCCAGGACTTTAAATGGCAACCATATAGAGACTGGTATGAGGGGCGGAGGAGCTAAAGTGCTGACCCTGTGCCCACAGACAGCAACTGAAGTCCTGGAGAGATATCTCAGCTGTGGGGGATGCCAATGAGAACTCTGGGATCTAATCCCCAAGCTGGGCCCCCCAAAAGAGAGCACCAAAACTGAGAAGGGTACCCTCATAACATCTGGCTGTGAAAAGCAGTGGGGTGCTATCTGCCAGGAAGTGACAGCTGTAATTCAGGCACCCTCTTAAAGGGCCAATATACAAAATTCCCCGTGGGGCCACCCACCTTGTGCTCTGGCAGAGGGAGGGTGAAGTGGATGGGAGCTGTGAGAGCAGAAGCCAGGACTGCACACTCGGGAGATAGAGCTCAGAAGGCAGACACCCCAAGTTTCCTGGGCTGAGTCATTCCCTCACGCAGGGGAGGACATGGTTCCCACATTGACATTTGCCTTGCCTGGGGAAAAGACAGGTGACACACCCTATTTGAAAATACCTTGCCCTGAGGCCACTTAAGAGCTTAAAAATAACAATTAGCCTCCGGGCAGAAGCAAGTGCCCCACCCTGTTGGAAAAAATATTTGTCACAGCTGAGGATGATTGCCTGGGGGGCAATTCAAGTCTGAATCCTATCAGGCTGTAGGAAGAGGTGGTCTCTGGAGGCTTTGAGTATTTGCCTGGTCTAATTAGTCAGAAACAGCCTTTAGCACTGTCCTGCACTAGAGATTGAGAGGTGTAGAGCAAGTATGTCAATCTCGGGGCACACAGCGAATATTTTTGTGGCCCACCCAATGTATTCGTATGTAAGAAACATTTTAATAAAAATTTTGTAACTTAATTTTTACAACATCCTGTTATACATAATCCTATTTAATAAAAGACAAAAAGGGTAATTGACCGTACCTTCGCTACGCTTCCCATTGGCTAATCAGCGTCATATGCAAATTAGACGCCATCATGGCGGCTAATTTGCATACTGCAGGCAGGGTTGGCCAGCGCCAGACGCCATCCAGGCCCTGTGTGCGGCCCTGGGTGGCCGGGCTTAGGCGGCGCGATCGCATCACCTAAGCCCCGCCCCAGCTGGGACCCCCGTTGGCCACCTAAGCCCCGTGCGCCTAAGCCCTGCCCCCCAGCCAGGACCCCCGTGTGCCGCCTAAGCCCCGCCCCCAGCCGGGACCCCCATGTGCTGCCTAAGTGCCGCTGCCAGCTGGGGCCCTATGGCTATCCCAGAGCAGGCAAGTGCTAAGGGGGCCGTCCCCCAGGTGGGCCTGCTCCTGGGATCGCCATGGCAAGCCCAGAGCAGGAAAGTTCCCCACAGGCAGCACCCAGCAGGGCCTGCCCCCAGTCTCTGCAGTGATCCGGTGATCCATGAGCAGGAAAGCGTAGCCTGCAGGCAGCACCCTAACCTGGCCACAGCTCAAGGGAGAGAAAAACACGCAGTGGAGGCCAGGAGCCTGAGAGATCAACACAGAGGGGCGCCTGCTCCAAACCTCCAAGGTGTGGCTGGGGGCAGGCCCCCAGCAGACATACACACTCACACACACACACACACACACACACACACACACACGATGCCTGCTCCGAGCCTCTGCTGCCAGACTGTGGCCGTCAGTAGGACATCCACTGAGGGCTCCCAGACTGTGAGAGGGGCAGGCTGGGCTGAGGGAACCCCACCCCCCAGTGCACGAATTTCGTGCACCAGGCCTCTAGTTATTAATAACAAACTACAACATTTACTAATGACTGATTATTATAATCATGTTGTATCCATTCCCCTTATATGCCTTACATGCAGGCACACCATTTCTCTCCACTAATACTAACAGCAAATATTTTAGCAGCCGATTGCCACGTCATTAGTCTTATACTGACTTGTTTGGTGTGCACAACAGACAATATTTTGCTTTCGGAGAACAAGAAAAATAGGTTTGTGTTACGCTTATTAATTTGTGCAGTTATTCCATGTCTGGTAAGTGAATGTTCAAGAAAAAATATTATATTTTATTAAAATGTTCTATTATTTTATATTAACGATTACTCATTTGTTTCAGCCCTTTGTATTCAGCATGTCTCTATCAAAATAAACCTAAGTTTCTATGAAAATGAAGCTTTTGTTTTTTTTGTGGCCCACATAAACTTAAATCTTGTTTATTTGGCCCATGTTAGCCTTTGAGTTTGACATGCTTGGTATAGAGAATCTACCTAATACAGTGTCACAAACCCAGACAGACAGCCAAAAATGAGGAGACAAAGAAACAACTCCCAAATGAAAGAACTAGAGAATTCTCCAGAAGAAGAGAAAATTAAGCAGAGATAAGAAATTTATCTGAAACAGAGTTCAAAGTAATAAGGATAAAGATGCTGAACAGCATAAAAAAAGATATAGTAATTATTGAAAAAGAACAGTTTGTGATAAAGAATGACATAACACAAATAAAGAACACATTGGAAAGAATACACAGCAAATTAGGAAAAGCTGAGGATTGAATCAGTGAATTAGAAGACAGAGTTGAAAATATCACTCAATTAGAGAACCAAAAAGAGAAAACAATTAAAAAAACAACAACAACAGGAGGACAGCTTAAGGGAGCTGTGGGACAATGTGAAACGTAACATTATTAGGAAGAGCAGGTATGCACCAGAAGAGGCAGAAAGGGAGAAAGGAATAGAGAATGTCTTTGAAGAAATAATGGCAGAAAACTTCCCTAACCTCGTAAAGGAAAAAGTCACACAAGTTCAGGAAACACAGAGAACCCCAAGCAAGAAGAACCCAATCAGGCCCATACCCAGACACAACATAATTAAAATGCAAAAATTAAAGAAAAGGGAAAACCTTAAAGCCAGCAAGAGAAAACATTTTACCTACAAAGGAATTCCCATAAGGCTGACACCTGATTTCTCATCAGAAACTCTACAGGCCAGAAGGGAATGGCATGAAGAACTCAAGGTAATGGAAAGCAAGGATCTGAGACCAAGATTATTATATCCAGCAAGGCTATCATTCAAAATAGAGTCCCCCAAATCGTCCCCCTTCCCCCCCCCCCAAACACACACAGAATCACACATTCTTTCCATGGTGTGAGCATCAGTAAGCAAATCCCCAGGCAGAGCTGTAGCTCCTAACCAGGGCCTCGGCAGGTGTCATGAAATCTGTCTCACCTTCCTGGCTGTTTTCTTGCAGTTCCGTGAAGAGCCCAAGCCTGGAGACCTGATTGAGATTTTACACATCGGCTACTCGCACTGGGCCCTGTATGTGGGCGATGGTTATGTGGTCCACCTGGCTCCCCCAGGTAAGGGGGGTTGAAAGTATAACTTTCCAGAGATCTGTTACCGTGAAGAGAACAATTCAAGGCCAAATGCCACCCTGGGAACCACCGTTGCTTTCTCCCTGGGCAGGGCTTGTGCTCACTGCACATCTGTGTTCCTTGGAGGCATCTCAGTGGTCCCTTGAGTCCTGACCCAGCAGGGAAAGAGGTCCGTGGGCCAAGGGAAGCTGGGCTGGGGCCGCATTGGACGCTCTCCAGCTCCATGACCTTTAGCTGGGCGCGCAGACAGATTTCACTAAAACAGCAGCTTCTCGAGGTGTCCTGGTCTCATAAAGGAGAAGGGCCAATGATGGTTGATGGTCAACTAGACGATGTCCATTCATATCATGGAGCTCAATAACAGCCACTGACCATCAGAATATTCATTAGTTTGAAAGAGTATTCAGAGCTCATTAAGTAAGAAGAGTAAAATCCGTGAATCCTCCAATCACATTGGTGAAGGGACAGACAACAAAGCTCAATAGCCTCATCCCCTGGCCCTTCTTCCCTGTCTTGTGTCTTCTCTCTCCCTCCCTGGCCTCCCCTGCAGTTCCTGATACTCCTGTGTCTGATTCCAGGGGAGAACTCTGAGGCTGGCGCCCCCAATGGCTTAGGGGTGGTGAAAAGGGAGCTCCTGGTGGAAGTGGTGGGAAAATGCTTCTATAAGGTCAACAGTCACTTGGACCACCTGTACAAACCACGGCCCATAGAGGAGATGCTCAGATCTGGGATTGAGATGGTTGGTAAGAAGATGGAGTACAGTGATCTGAGCAGGAACTGTGAGCACTTTGTTATGGATCTGAGATATGGCAAGGCCCACCACCGGCAGGTAAGGCCCTCTCTGGGGGCTCCCTCTACCTTCTGCAGGTCTGCTTGGGGTAGAGGAGACAAGGCTGTGCACCCAAAAGAAAAAACTACCCCCAATGATGTAAAATTATGCTCCTTGCTTCCTCCTGGCTGGGAGTTAGGATGTCTGAGAACAAATCTTGGGTGAGTTTTAGATCCACTCAGGGTCTTCGAACAGGTCACTTCCTCTCTGGCCTCAGTTTCCCCATGTACAGAAGGAGGGGTGTATCGAGGACCTCTGGGGCTCTGGCCACCTCTATCCCTTTATTTTCCTTCGCCTCTAAGACCCACCCTAAAGGCAGCTCCTGATGCCCTATGTGCTGTCAGGGAAAGAGTGGGCCAACCCTGTACCATGACAGGTCTCCTATGGCCTCAGAGAGCCTTTGGGCAAGAGATGCTCAAGGACTCTTGCCCATGTAAGAGCTCGAGAACATATTATGTAAGATCTGGACACATTCTTGCCGCTTTCCTCTTTCCCTCTTACTAAAACACAGCTAGTAAGAGGCAGAAGCAGGATTCAATGCCCAGTGCTCCCTGTTCTTTCTGCTGAACCACAGCACCTCCAGGGCTCACAGCCTTTGTGTTTGGGTGATGGGTAGCCTGGATGAAGGAGAATGAGGGGAGGAGGGGCAGCATTGGGGGGGAATTAGAGATTTGATGCTAGGGGGGCTTGTTGAGGTGACCATTAGAAATCCAGGTGGACCTGTAGAGTATAATTTGGACGTGTGAGTTGAGTCCGGGCTGAAGTGGGAGTGGAGAATGAAGTTTCCAGGCTGCACTTGGAAACAGTACACAGAGCAGAGTTATCCCTGAGGCCAAGGTTTCCAGTCCTGTCCCCTCATCTTGGCCACCACCCACCCTCTGCAGAGGTGGCTCCAAGGTAGAGCCAAGACCACAGAGCCATTCCCACTTTCACCCCCAGAGAGCTGGCCCCAGGAGCACAGGCAGAAAGGCCCTCTTCTATTCACCCTCTTCAGGACCAAGTGGCCCCACCATGGAGCCTCACAAAGGCCCTGGAGTGGGTGGGACAGAAGTCTGGGGGTTGGTCAGGAAAACGTGGGGTCACATAATCGGGAACAGGATGGCCCTGAATAAAGTCATGGGGGAAAGATGGACAAAGAAGTGAATTCCAGAGAAGCTTCCAGGCTAAATGACCACTGTTGGATGTTGGCATGGAATGAGGGCAAAGGGAAGCTGGCCCCTGGTCTGAGATTGGGCGGCCTGGGGTGAGCGCTGCAGGAGGTTAGCAGAGGTCAGACAAAAACAGGAAGATAAACTGAAAAATTCTCAAATCAGGAAGCTGTGGTGCCCTATACAGGGACACTGAGGAGCAGGGAGGAGGTGGTAAGGCAGGATGGAGGAGAGGGGACCAGGAAGGATCGGGGCAGTGAAGACCCAATGCAGCCACTGCCGGCTGAGTGTCCCTGGGCAAGTGCCTCTACCTCTCTGATCCTCAGTTTCCCCAGCTGAGCACGTGGGTGCTGCTTCCTTCCCCTGGGCTTGGGAGGGTGGCTGTTATGGGGGAAATGTGCCAGCAGAGCCTGCTGGGGGACTGTGAGCCCTGTCCCCAGGGCAGGAAGCTGGGCAACAACAGGAGGGCCTTCTCCAATGCTCAGGTGCCCTCAGGATGCTGTCACCTGCTGTCTGTCAGCTCAGCATCTTCAAGGGTCCGTGTACCGGGGCTGGGAGGGCAGAGTGTGAGGTGGTGGGTGTTGGGGCCATGCACAGCCAGGGCAAACACATGATGGAGACATGAGGGTCAGAGTGTGAGAGCAGAGAAGCTCAGACTCACCTGGACAATGTTGTGGGGGATGGGCCTGGGCCCCAGCCTCAGGGAAGGGGGTTACATATAGGCTGTTGGGTTATCACCTTCAGACACATACACAGAACACCTGCATATGCTTGTCTGCATCCTAGTGTGTGTGCATGTACATGCAACATACAACATATCCATGCAAAATACACACAGACACACATGCATCAAACACACATTCTGAAAAAATCTTCACTCTCCCAATGCACAAGGTGTTTTTCCAGGCTTCCTGTTCCTCACAGATAAACCTATAGAAGCTATAGTTAACTGAGGACCTCACATGGGACATGAGGTCCCCTCCCACCCCCTCAGCCCCCACCCCCACACTCACACATATTTTCTTGCCATGGGGTGAACATCAGTAAGCAAATTCCTAGGAGGAGCTGCAGCTCCAGCCCGGCCTCTGCAGCTCCCTGAAATCTGTCTCACCTTCCTGGTTTTCTTGCAGATTCGTGTAGAGCCCAAGCCTGGAGACCTGATTGAGATTCCCCGCATTGGCTCCTCGCACTGGGCCCTGTATCTGGGCGATGGTTATGTGATCCACCTGGCTCCCCCAGGTAAGGGGTTTCGAAAGTATAACTTTCCAGTTATTTGTTAACATGATGGGAACAATTCAAGGCCAAATGCCACCCTGGAAATCAGTGTTGGTTCTCACTGAGCTGTGCTTGGGTTCCCCCTACATCATTTCTCTTGGGGGCATCTCAGAGGTCCTTCAGGTCCTGACCCAGCAGGGAGAGGTCTATGGACCCCAGGGATGCTGGTCTGTGGCTGCATTGGACGCTCTCCAGTTCTGGCCCTTTTAGCTGGATGTGCAGACAGATTTCACAAAACCAGGAGTGTCTCTGAGTGTCCACAGTCTCATAAAGGAGAAGGGTCAATGAAGATGGATTGGTCAACTAGATGATGTCCATTCATATCATGGAGCACAATAGCAGCCACTGACCATCACAGTATTCATTAGCTTGAAAAAGTATTCACAGCTCATTTAGTAAAAGAGTAAAATCCTCCAATCACATTGGTGAAGGGACAGACAACGAAGCTCAATAGTGTCATCCCCTGGCCCTTCTTCCCTGTCTTGTATCTTCTCTCTCCCTCCCTGGCCTCCCCTGCAGTTCCTGATACTCCTGTGTCTGATTCCAGGGGAGAACTCTGAGGCTGGCACCCCCACCGGCTCAGGGGTGGTGAAAAGGCAGCTCCTGGTGGAAGTGTTGGGAAACTGCTTCTATAAGGTCAACAACCACTTGGACCATCTGTACAAACCACGGCCCATAAAGGAGATGATCAGTGCTGGGAAGGAGATGGTTGGTATGGAGATGGAGTACAGTTTTCTGAGCAGGAACTATGAGCACTTTGTCAGAGATTTGAGATATGGCAAGGCCCGCAGCCGTCAGGTAAGGCCCTTCTGGAGAGCTCCATCTCCCTTCTGGAGGTCTGCTTGGGTTGGAGGTGACAGAGATGACTACCCAGAAGATAAAATTACCACAGAGGATGCAAATATATGCTCCCTGCCGCCTGCTGACTGGGAGTAAGGATGTCTGAGATCAAATTTCAGGTCTGTTCCTGATCCACTCAGGGTCTTTGAACAGATCACTTCCTCTCTGGCCTCAGTTTCCCCATGTGCAGAAGGAGGGATGTTTGGAGGACCTCTGGGGCTCTGGACACCTCTATCCCTTTAGAATCCTTTGCCTCTAAGACCCAACTTAAAGGCAGCTCCTGATGCCCTGTGTGCTGTCAGTGAAAGTCTGGGCCAACCCGGGACCATGACAGGTCTCCTAAGGCTCCAGAGAGCCCTCGGGCAAGAGATGCTCAAGGTCTGTGGCCCATGTAAGAGCTCAAGAACATGTTATGCAAGATCTGGGCACAGCTTTAACCCATCCCCTTGCCCCTCTTCTGAGTTCATTGTCCCAAACACACAGCTAGTAAGAGGCAGAAGCAGATTCAATCCCCAGTGCTCCCTTCTATTTCTGCTGAACCACAGCACCTCCAGGGCTCACAGCCCCTGTGACTGGGTGATGGGCAGCCTGGATGGAGGAGATGAGGGGAGGAGGAGCAGGATTGGGAGGGGAATTTAGGATTTGATGCTCATGTGGGGTGTTGAGGTGACCAGTTAGACATCCAGGTAGACCTGTTGAGTAGCAGTTAGACGTGTGAGTCGAGTTCAGGGCTGAGGTGCGGGTAGGGATAGAAGTTTCCAGGTGCACTAGGGAACATTACACAGAGCACAGTGATCCTTGAGGCCATGGTTTCCCATCCTGTCCCCTCAGCTCTGCCACCACCTCCCGCTGCAGAGGTAGCGCCCAGGTAGAGCCCAAACCACAGAGCCATTCGCACTTTCACCCCCTGAGCTCTGAACCCATGACCCCAGTCAAGAAGCCCATCCCATATCCACCCCCGTCAGGACCAAATGGCCCCACCATGGAGGCTCACACAGGCCCCGGAGTGGGTGGGACAGAAGTCTGGGTGTTGGTGAGAAAGACATGGGGTCACATAATCGGGAACAGGATGGCCCTGAATAAAGTAAAGGGGGAAAGATGGACAAAGACGTGAATCCCAGAGAAGCTTCCAGGCTAAATGACCACTGTTGGATGTTGGCATGGAATGAGGGCAAAGGGAAGCTGGCCCCTGGTTTCAGATTGGGCGGCCTGTGGTTAGCGCTGCAGGAGGTTTGCTGAGGTCAGACACACACAGTAAGATTAACTGAAAAATTCTCAAATCAGCAAACTGTGGTGCCCTGGGCAGGGACACTTTGGAGCAGGGAGGAGGTGATAAGGCAGGGAAGGAGGGAATGAAGAAAGAGGACCAGGAAGGGCCGGGGCAGAGAAGACCCAGTGCAGCCGCTGCCAGCTGAGTGTCTCTGGGCAAGTCCCTCTACCTCTCTGATCCTCAGTTTCCCCAGCTGAGCACGTGGGTGCTGCTCCCTTCCCCTGGGCTTGGGAGGGTAGCAGTTATGGGGGAAATGTGCCAGCAGAGCCTGCTGGGGGACTGTGAGCCCTGTCCCCAGGGCAGGAAGCTGGGCAACAACAGGAGGGCCTTCTCCAATGCTCAGATGCCTTTAGGATGCTGTTACCTGCTGTCTGTCAGTTCAGTATCTTCAAGTGTCCGTGTGCCAGGGCTGGGGAGGGCAGAGTGTGAGGTGGTGGATGTTGGGGCCATGCACAGCCAGGACAAACACATGATGGAGACATGAGGGTCAGTGTGTGAGAGCAGAAAAGCTCAGACTCACCAGGACAATGTTGTGGGGGATGGGCCTGGGCCCCAGCCTCAGGGAAGGGGTTTACATACAGGCTGTTGTGTTATCACCCTCCAGACATGTACACAGAACACCTGCAAATACATGTGTGCATCCTAATGTGTGTGCATGTACATGCAACATGCAACATATCCATGCTCAATACACAAGACACACATTCATCACACACACATTATAAACAAATATTCACTCTCCCAATGCACAAGATGTTTTTCCAGGTTTCTAGTTACTCACAGGGTAGCCTATTAAAGCTTCAGCAAGCTGAGGACCCAACAGGGGACATGACTTCCCCGCCTCTCGGTCCCCTCCACACACACACACTTCCCATGGGGTGAGCATCAGTAAGCAAATCCCTAGGCAGAGCTGCAGCCACCAGCCCGGGCCTCTGCAGCTCCATGAAATCTGTCTCACCTTCCTGGCTGTTTTCTTGCAGTTTCATGTAGAGCCCAAGCCTGGAGACCTGATTGAGATTTCCCTCATTGGCTCCTTGCACTGGGCCCTCTATGTGGGTGATGGTTATGTGATCCAC